AAGGGACTAAATGGTAATGGAAAAATATACAATAAAGATTAAATTACAAATTCTTTTTTCTTTTTGCTGCTCTGAGTGTTTTCTGCTTCCTTGTCTTCCAAATTGCTCTGATTCTATTCTCTGCTTTATCTAGCCTGCTATTGATTCCCTCCAATGTATTCTTCATTTCAGTTAGTGTATTTTTCATTTCTGACTGGTTATTTTTATGATTTCTATCTCCTTTTTCGCTTCATATCTGTTTGTTGAAGTTCGCACTGAGATATTTCTCTCTACTAAACTTATTGAATATCCTTATAACCAGTGTTTTGAACTCTGCATGTGGTAGATTCCTTGTTTCCATTTTATTTAGTTGTTTGTTTGTTTTTCCTGGAGTTTTACCCTGTTTGTTCACTTGAGATGTGTTTCTTTGTGTCCTCATTTTGACTGCCTCCTTTGTTTGACTAAATATTATGTAGATCTACTACACCTCTAGTCATGACACCTTTTATAGAGGGTGTCCTATGCAGAGCACTGACACGATATCCCTGTTTACCTGAGCCACATGCTCCAGGGTATTTCTTGTGTGGTTTTGTGCGCTGCTTGTAACTGAGACTTGATTGCTGTTGCACAATAGTGGGTAGGGTTGACTGTCAGGGTGATTGGCTGTGAGGACTTGCCATGACTACATAAGATGAGCAGCTGTGTGGGGACTGACCCCATGGAGTGGGATACACTTTACTGGGCCTATGGTACCTGCCAAGTCCGTCCTTTGGGTGTGCCATTTGTGGCATTAATTGTATAGTGTTCTGGTGTGGCCTGAAGCTGGCCACCAGGTATGTTTCTTCTGAGGGCACTTGAGAGGGGCTCCAGTTGAGGCCAAGATCAGCAGCTGCCTTTGTCTGGCCTAGGATCACCTGGCAGGAACTACAAAGTGACCTGTGGTGGGTAGCTACCTGCGCTGGGCTAAGGGGCACCCGGGAGCTGTTGTGCTGTGAACTGGAGCAAGCTACCAGAGGTGCTGACCTTCGGGCCACTTAACAAAAAGTACTGGGCATGGCGAGTCCAGCCACTGCTTGTTTGGGATTTGTGAAGCTTTGAGAGATTTTAGGAAAGTCCAGAGCATGGACCAAGGCCAGCTGCTGTGGTTCAGATTATCCTCTGAAATAGGTTTGAGCCAGGCTTGTGAATTGGGTGGTGCGCAGTCTCAGAGCATCACCAGAGTGGACAAGAGCAGTGTTAGCCAAGTTGGTGGAGGCTTAGATTTAGTACCTGCCTGCCAGCTGTCAGAAGGAAAGGGCTCAACAAAGGAACAATGGTGCCTGACAACACTTGAGTTTCTAAAAGAGCTTCCCCTCCAGCCCTCACACTGAAGCCAGAAAATCAGTCTCTCCCATACATCCCTGGCACTCTCTGAGCTGATGTCCCTCCTCTGGAGCTTAGGGTGAGTGTTTGTGATTACGTGAGTGTGCTCCAGCCCTTGAAGAGATTGCTTGGGTCTGAAGCAGCCCTCCGTCTCACCAGAACTAAGTCCCTACTGATTTTCACAGTCAGCTGTTGAGGGGATCCCTCTTCCCAGCCCTGGTGCTTCTGGTGGGGGATCCTAGTGTGGGCCTAGATTGCCTCTCTCCTTGGTGGGGGCCTCAACGGCTGAGGTGATCTTTCCTGTTCTTAGCCACCACGCATGAGGACGGGTCAACCCATTTCACATTTCTGCCCACTCGGAATATTTCAAGGTTACCTAAAATCTCTTGATGTATGGATTCCCAAACCTGTAGATGAGTTTTATAAGTTATTTGAGCCAAATAGAGGATATGTCTGGAAGCAAGATCTCAACAGACTGAGAAAAATGTTTCCAAGGTATGACAGTTTGCAGCTTTCTTGATACATTTGGAATTAAGAAGAGAATGTAAGGAAAATTACGTGAAGCTAGCAGACAGCAAGAAAGGGAACGAAGTATTGGATAGTTCACAGGATTCTATGTTCTCATGAAAGTGATCGTACTTTGGAAGGAGGTGTCTGAAAAGAGACATTTCAAAAATGTGCCAACATAGATGCACAGTAATAATGGACAAGGCTTGCTTAAGGCAAGGATAATCCTTTTACTAAAGAAATTATATACGTGGGCATGACTGCCCACTGTGACCGGCCTAGTTAAGAATTGGTGATCAGATCAGCCTGTGAGGATACATTGCATAGAAGCACTTTTCTGTCCACTCACCCCTCCCTAATACATATTTTTATATTACTAAAATTGTGGAGTTGGTGCCACTTTGCATTACTTTAAAATCATTATATAATGTTTGTATTTCTTCGTCTCAAAAATGATTATTTACATAGCTATTCATCATGCTGACCCATAATATATTTCATTTAAATGTTCGGATTTTTTTCAGTTTGGCGCTCAGGAAAAAAAAGAATACTGCCAAGCACAATTTATGATGTTGGACTTGGGCAGATTAAACATATTGCCTTAGCAACTTAAATGTTTGTCTGTTGTTAACCTCTCTCCTTAGCCTTCTTTGACTCCATAGTACTTGAAAGCTATTAGATTATTTATGCACCCATGTGAAGATTTTATATCATTTTTCTTTTCCAAGTATTTTTTAAGTCAATCATTGCTTGCCATGTCATTTGGCCTATAAAACAAGGAATTTGGACTGGATAATTTCTGAGCTTCTTGCTAGTTGCAGTGTTCTTTCTTAGGCCTTGTAAAATGTTGGGAGCTAAATTTGTGGGCAAATAGCTGAATGTTTACTCCAGCTCTATTATGCCCTGCTCTCTTTTTTGTAGAGTAGTGGAAATAATATGGGTTTTTGATTAGAGAGGTGTGGCTTATGGTTCTTCCACTGTCATTTATCAGCTTTGTGACACCATTGAAGATTGTAAAGCTCTTTAGAGCAGCACGACCTCAACTGTCTGGTTTTCATTTATTGTTTCATGGCTGGATACCGGAGTTAAGTTGGACAGCTGCTATAGACTGAGTGTTTGTGTCCCCCCAAATTCATATGGTGAAAAATCATCTACAATGTGATGGTATTTGGAAATGTTGCCTTCGGGAGGTGATTTGGCCATATGGTAGTACACTCATTAGTTAGATTAATGTCTTTATAAAGAGTCTCCAGACAACTCCCTTGCCCTTTCTGCCACATGAGAAGACAGAGAGAAGATGGCTGTTCATACAACAGAAATTGGGTTCTCACCAGACACTAAATCCACCAGTACTTTGATGTTAGAATTCCCAGGCTCCAGAACTATATATTTTCTATTTAAACCAATCTATAATATGTTTCCTATAGCAGCCCAAATCGAGTAGGATTGCGGAGGAAGGCCTTGAGAAATGAGTTGTTCTCACACATGGGTCTGGAGAAATGAAAGGGAACAAGGACACAGATGTTCACCCTGCCATGACCGGCAAGCAGGTATGCAGAGTATCTTGGAGGCACGCCGTCAGGAGCTGAACTACTTTGCTTGTTCCTTGGAGTTCACTAGAGGCATGGAACAGCCTTGGTTATAGAAACACTTGAGCCTTAGATAGCGGGGAGTGTACGTGATTTGTTTAACAAATGATAACATTTGATTTTTTGCTTTGAATGCATTACTATCCACCCCAATTCTTTTCCTGTCTAAGAAATATGATGATAAAATCCTGCTCGGGGCTCTTCAGCCTTGTGCTGCTGAGTCCTCTGCTTCTCATCTTAACATCCAGGGCAGCGACTAGTCTTTGTTCATCACCGTTCTCACTGCAACATAAGATAAATTGAATTCAAATTATTTCCAATACCTTATCCCTCCGTCACTCTATAAACTCACTCAAATCCAATGAGTCTTTCAAATTGCTTGGGACATATGAGCTCTTTGATGCCACCCAGAATCTCTGAAAAGTGGTCAGGCTCCTTTCTTCACACTGTCCTCTCCACAAGTGAAGGTGGGCAGGTGGGAGAACAAGGAGACACCATTCTCTACAAGTGGTGTCTCCTCTTCTGGGTGGATGTAATGTGGCACAATAGGACTCTCTACATCTGCATAAGTAAAGTTTGACACAGACAACAGTGTCATTCCCTTGACAATTCTAGAAAAATATACTCTTTATGTTAATGTGTACATGTTGACAGACTGTATCTAATTAAGTAGTTCAATACACTGTGTTCCTAAGATTTAGTATAAGACTTGAAATTTATAAAAATCAAACTCAAATTTTCTTTCTTTTATTCATGGCACTGACCATGAATAAAAGAAATAATGGAAGCGTATAAGGCTTTTTTTTTTTTTGACTCTGCCAAAAAGATCATTATTTAGTTTCTAACTTAAATGTCTTCGCTCTACAAAGCCTCCACCGAGTCCTTCAGTCAGATGCCCTCCCTTTGAAACAGATAGTTTGACTCGTTTGCCTGTCTTCTTCCCCCATAGATTGTGAGCTCTCTTTTAAGGATAATAATTTGTAGCTAATATTTATTGAAGATTGTCCTATCAGGCTTCCTAATAAGTGCTTTAAAGGGCTTGGCTCATTTGTTCAACAAACAACCCTTTCAAGTGGTACTATTATTTTACAAATAAAGAAGCTAAGAGTCCATTCACAGACCTAGTAAGTTTAGAATCTGCCCTGAATCCAAGGCCATGCCAGAAGCATTGCCCCATGCTGCTTTTTGGCAGAGGCCGAGGCCCTCTGTTATTCTCATTGCCTCTCCACTGTGCCAAACGGAATGCCTGTAACAAGGGGGTGCTTTGGCAATGCTGATAGGTATTGAAATGTCAGGGTCATGAGCACCTTTGCTGTGACTGATTGGTGTCTGACTTCTCTGCTATGAAGAGGGGGAGAGTGCTGAAGCAAACATTCCTCTGTCTTGTAGTTCTGTCTGTCCTATGTCATGTGTGCTTCTTCCTCAATCTTCCTTCTTTCCAACTGCAACAGGTGGATTAGAAATTGGAGATTAATGCACAGAACACTAAAACAGAGGATTGAAAGGGAATAAATATGGAATCCAGGAAAAAGAGACAGAAAGCTTAAAACTTGTGCCTAAGGATATAACCAAATACATCAAGTTCTTACCTCTAATTAGCATATTGAAAACAAAGTCCAGTTTTGAGGGCTAATTCAGTGCCTTTTTCTTTCTGATTTGATATGGTTTGGGAACAACCTGATGGGTGTGGCTTAAAACTTCAGATCACATGTGTGGAACTGGGCATTACTTGAGCAACAAAGTCCCTGTTCAATAGAGCTGTTGTATGTACTCAAGCAGGAAAGAGTCTGCAAGAATCCCCCAGTCTCCTGGCCTCCAGAGAGAACAGAATCATGAGCACAGAAGGAAGGGTAAGCATTTTTTTAAACTTCTGAAAATGTAACCTCATTTTGTAGTACACAAAAAGATATAGTATTTAATGAATAATTTAATTTATATCTAAATTAGAAACAATATATATTGAAATATAAAATAGAATATACACTTCATTATGCAATATATGTTTAACTATAATTGAATAGGCTGTTCCTAAATATCATTAGCAAGAGTGTATAACATCTGTATCTATTAGGGTCTTTATTTCCTATATTAAATAAATGTTCAGTAGTTACCGCTAATCATGAGTAATTTGAAAATCTATAGTTAGAAAGATTTTTGAACAATTTATATCTATATTAAGAACCATAATTTAAATGTTCTTCTTTGTAATCATCTTCTTTTTATGGACACAGGAGAAAAGTTAAGTCTGATAAAAGTTTTATTGGTCTCAAAGCATTAGAATCATCAAGATTAAGCAAGCCAACATCAGCGTGCAAACTCTGATTTAAAGGGTCTGATTATGGCTCAATCCAGGAAATTTCTATATAAATCCTATGGAACAATACCTTCTTCACGCAAAAGTCAATATAATTTTATCAAAAATTACTTGACATAGTTTGAATCGCTTATTAATAGTAGGAACAGGTATATGTGGTTCTAGGGCTTCCATAATTTTTCTTACCTGTTCAATGCAGAGGAATGCATGTGCTCACTCAATATAATCAATTCATATTGTTTTTTTAAAAGATTTTCTTTATTTATTTTTAGAGAGAGGGGAAGGGAAGGAGAAGGAGAAGGAGAGAAACATCATTGTGTGGTTGCCTCTCGCGCACCCCCTACTGGGGACCCGGTCCTCAACGCAGACATGTGCCCTGACTGGGAACTGAACCAGCGACGCTTTGGTTCACAGGCTGACACTCAATCCACTGAGCCACACCAGGGCCCAATTCATATTGTTTAACTGCTCAATTCCAAAAGTGTCTGGTATACTCGTTGTACTGAGAGTGGATCACAAACTCTGATACTTTGCTATCATAACTCGATTTAAAGATTCTGAGGTTTCTACACACACTGTGTTACACAACAGGCCTACATATCAGTAATATTGGTTGGAAATCTCAAGGGTAGCCAATTGTCACTTTTCTCATTCAGCTCTTTATTTTTCATTTATTACTGATCAGCATTTACAACGGCATATTACATTCTAAATGAAGAATAGTTAAGGAAAATAAAAATTAAATTTGTCAAAACTCAGCTTGAAAGAAATAATGAGTTCAGAGAGCAAGAGAGCAAACCAAGTATATTCATGAGAACAATAAACAATAAGCAATCGATCCTCCCCACCTCTGGTGCAACATCAATAGTTTTCAGCTTTGTGGCAGCACTTTGTTTGTGTATTCTTCCCATGCTATATTTTCCTCAAGTGCTAAATAGCAATCATAAAAATGCCTATTTCATAAGATAGTTTTGAGAATTTAATAAGTTAATGCTCCTTAGCACTTTAGATAGAGCCTGGGACATGGAAATAATTCAATAAATGTTAATCATTGCTTTTGTCGTTCTTGTTATTCAAACTTTGGTTAGTCTTTGACTACCATGGGATGGTGAAAAGATAACTTTGAATTGATCTTCACTCTCTGACAGCCAACCTTGTGAATGCAAAAATTAGTCCATTGCTGAGTCAACAGGGGCTCGACTTTGCCATCCGTAAAATAGAACAATACGTTAATGGTATTATCCTGTGAGGTTTAAAGATCAAGCATGTAACTCATTCAGCACAGGTCACAAAGTGCTTGCCCATTGTATAAACACCTGATAATCAAGACTTTTATTCTATTAGTGTGCTATTTCTAAGTAGTCTCATATTTACTGTGACATTGACCAGGACAAACACTCATCAAAGGGGGAGAATTGACATGTAAATAAGGAAATAAAGTGTCAACAGGATAAATTTCCATTTAATTTTAATATTCATATGAATTATAAATTCATAATTATAATACCAAATTGTCAGTCTAGAAAAAACTCCAAAATATATAAACTTTGTAACAATGAAGACAAGTGCGTTATTATATTCTCAAGTACTAAAAATATATGTTCAGTTTTAATTTTGAAGAATATCAGTAAGCTATACTAGCTAAAAAGTCAAACACACAGTTATCCCATTTTTAAATACATATGTGTATATGTGGGTAAGAGTGTGTGTGTGTATAGCTATAAGCACTGCATTTTATGGCTCACATCTAATCTGGAAAGAATAGCTACACAAAAATTAGATAAGAAAACTGAGCTACCAAAGCTCATTTTCAAATGAGTGATGCAAACAGGTAGCACAGAGAAGTAGTGGGGAGTGAAAAGTCAATGAAGGAGAACAGACAAGTAGAGAAAGAGAACTCCTATGCAGAGAAGCAAGTGTGCAGTGGAATCAAAGCCAGATCGTTTTGGACTTAAGTGGAAAAGTTGAGTGAGAGAAGTAGCTTTTATGTAAACGGACAGTGAATCTTACAGAGGGAAAAAAAATGTGATTTACAACTTCATGTACAAGCTAACAATTGTGGGTAAACAACGAATTTCAGGGCCGCATCAGGAAATGTCAAGAATAAACAACCCTTGGAAAAAGGAACAACATAAGGATGGCCTAAGAGAACATGTTCTGTTTTACCTCAGTGTCTCATAGTTAATTCTTATATAATTGCTTTACATGTTTTAGAGGGTTTTTGTTTGTTTGTTTGTTTTTGCAAATCAGAGGTTGTTTCTTGCTATGTGACATTTGTTAAGTTCCAGACATGGGACTAGTTGTTGCGCATAAAAAGATGAAAGTCACAATCCCTGACTTCAAGAATGGGAAACATGGGTATCATCTTTCTATTCAATTTCCAGGTAATAAAATGCAAAGCAGCTGTGCTATGGGGGCTAAAGAAACCCTTTTCCATTGAGGAGCTGGAGGTAGCACCCCCTAAGGCTCATGAAGTTCGTATAAAGGTGAAACATTTTTTCACTTCTATTTAATTTTAGGTTTAAAAAACTCAGAGAATAGTAATAGAAATAACCAAAAATTCATTGAGGCACTTTTTATATGGCAATCCAAACAATGGAATTGCATTTCCTGTTAAGGAAAGATATAAATACAAATTGTTAAATTTTTAAAAAGAGAAGAAAGAATATATACAATATAATCCTAATGTCTGACTTGTGTGTCTTTTTCTCTCCTCCAATGAGAGAAGTTTTCCATCATTATTTTTTTGAACAGGTTCTCTATCACTTCCTCATCCTCTTCTCCTTCTGGTATCCCTATTATCCAGATGTTATTACATTTCAGGTTGTCCTGCATTTCCCTATATGCCTCTTCATTCTTTGTGAGTCTTTTTTCATTTTCTTGCTCTTTCTGGGAGCTTTTTTCTACCTTGTCCTCCAGCTCGCTGATTCGGTCCTCAGCTTTATCTTGTCTGCTTTTGATTCCTTCTACTATGTTCTTCAATTCAGACATTCTATTCTTCATTTCCTCTTGAATCTTATTGAGAGTTTCTATGTCATTTTTCATGCTGATACAGTTTGCAGTAAGTTCCTCATAGTTTCCGTGTATTTTCTTGTAATTCTCTCTGAGCTCACTGAGCTCATTGAGCTTCCTTAGAACCGTTGTTTGGAACTCAATATCTGATAGTTTACTTGCCTCTATTTCATTTAGTTGTCTTTGTGAGGATTCCTCCTTTCCCTTCAAGTAGGGCGTAGGTCTTTGTCTTCCCATTATTTGTGAGACTCTTCTCTTTTGCTTCTGCTTCTTAAGTTGATCTGTTTTAATTTCCTGACTTTGTGGTGTGAACTTCTATGGTTGAAGACTGCTGTTTTTACTTTCTGGACCTGCCTCTGATGATGTCAGATGTGGACCTTGTCTGACCTTAGGCAGTCTGAGGTAGGCAAGAAATTTTAAGAGTTCAGTTACAGTCTGTTAAAATGCATATTTTTTAATGAGGCATCTTCTATTATTATTGTTATATAATACTCCTTTATCCTTGTTTAATTAGTTTGGGCCTTGAATTTTGCTTATTCTGATGATAATATTGCAGCAATGTAGTCTTTTGTTTTTATGTCATTTTTTTTTTTTCATCTTTAAAACAAAATACAAATGGAGACAAGCTTTGAAAATTCACCACAAAGACAAAACCAGTCCATTCATGTCTCTGGAAGCCACAAACAAAATTTCCCAAGGCTGATATGAAGCAAGCCCTGGCCAAGTATTTATTATTTAGGAAAATAACAATGTTACCAATATCCGTAAATCAGGCATTTAAGGAATTCAGTCTCTCAGTCCTTGTGTTTTGTTTTCCTGATGGTACAAGTATGAGATTTTCCATTTTATATCTAATGATTCCATTTTAGATTGAAATTCAATAAAATAAAAATAATTGATATATTCATACAGGAAAAAGTGCAAAGGAATATGAGGAGATATATAGAGAGAGAGAGATTTTTTTTTTATTGTTCAAATACATGTGTCTCCATTTTCCCACCACCACTTTCCCCTGCCCCACCCACGCTTACCTCCTACCCTCAACCTTTCTTCGCTTTGGATTTGTCCATGGGTCCTTTATACATGTTTCTTGATTTGACCCTTCTCCTTCTTTTCCCCATTTCCTCCCTCCCTTCTTCCCTCTCATTACTGTAGGTTTGTTTTATATAAAGATTTTAAAATCAGTTAGCATTAGATGGTGAAATTTAGCTGATTTAATTGTCTTGGTGCTAATCTGCAGTTTCTACTTCTGTAAAAAAGGATGCATTCTTGTCTATTATATGAGACTTAAACATTTCAGAAACAATTACTTCACAGATTATTCTGAAGTGCTTAAGGCAGGAAAGAAAAGTGTAGGTGAGTTTTAGACTGAATAATCTTGGAACAAGCAGAATCTTTTGTATTTAGGAAGAGTAGGGATTATTAGCAAAATCCTTGAAAACTCTTTAAAAGTCCAGCTTCAGGAAATTGGTCCATCTGAGGAACACTAGTTCTTCTGAATCTAATTATCTTCTCTTTACCCTGTAGATGGTGGACTCAGAAGTCTGTCGGACGGACGAACACATAGTCACTCTTCTTCCTGTGATCACAGGCCATGAGGCAGCCGGCATCGTGGAGAGCATTGGAGAAGGGGTGACTACAGTAAAACCAGGTAGAGAATTCACACTTTGAGAATGTACCTTTGTTCAGGACCCCAAGATCATCCAGCCCGGATGATGAAACTGTGAGATGAAAGACCTAGTTGAAGGCTGAAGCAGAGTTTGGGCTTGAACAGAGGTCTCTTCCTCTCCTGTCTCCCTGCCTGCCTCAGGCATGTATGCTTTCAAGCACTCACGTATTCTCCGTCAGCAAGTATTTGTTGAGTACCTATTAGATGTCAGGTGCCAAGTTAGATCCTGGCAATACAAGAAGATCAAAAGAGACCCACTTCCTGACAGAGTTCATAACCAAATAAACCATTTTAGTGTTGCCAAGCACTGTCTTCTCTCAAGTTGAAGAACTACAAATAAGACAAGGGGAAAAACTTTAGTCTGTGTCCTGGGCCTAGAGATCAGTGTATTAAACTGTTCTGTGCTGACTTGGCAGGTTAGGGGCCTTTAGGTTCTGACTGACTCAACATAATCTTCTCCTAAGTGGGAAGTGAAACTTGGTTAGTGGTTTTCTCTTCCAATGTGGCCTCCCTTCTTGAACACAGAATGAATGAAACAGACTAGTTAGAAGGAAAGGAGAGACCTATCATCCTGCCATAAACAGTATCTGTTTTATCATACTTAACCATGGTTACAAAGTACTAATTTATCTTTAATATTTATTTTGTCTTCATTTTATTGTGCATTAATATAGCTAAATATTTTTAGAGATAAAGACTGAATAAATGCAAAATGTTTATGCTGTCATCTCCATATAAAGTTTATCTATTAAATGTTATGGCCCAACCATTTTTATGGGTTTTGTGGATGAGTCGAATAGATCATTTAAAATAAAACATTTAATTATAAAAAAAAAATCACTTCAGCCAGTAAATTCGACCTCCCCCATTGTAAAATACTTAATTAACCTATGGACAGAAAAATATTAAAATAAATGGTCTTATTTGGGTTTCAGTTCTTAGCATTTCCTTTAGCTAGAAATAAATTAATAATAAATGACACCCTTATTTTTTCACCCTGTCTCCCTCTACTATAGCAGGGAAAATAAATAATTCAACTAAAAACATTTGAAAGTCAGTTCTTATCCTAAAAGAAAGCACCTAACTCATTACTGAAGGTTGAGATTGTCAAAGGAGTTTCTTGAATCTTTTTTGGTCCCATTATTGTTACTTTTTCTTTAAAAAAAACTAAAATTTTAAAAATAAGCACTCATTTCATAATAAAAATAGTCACTTTGAAAAGCAAAAAAATGACTGTCAATATCCTCGTTTTTACTGTATCCTAAACTATTTCAAAATACTGACTATCCCCAGCATCTAATGAAACTATGGCAGCCTTTCACAACTAAAATTTATATATATTTACAGTAAGAATATTTAAGGTTTGATTATTAAGGGTTAAATGAGATCTGTATAAAACCACAAAGAAAAAAAAGCACAGAATAAAAGATAACCATTAATGCAGTAAAAACATTTTAAAATCCATGTTGTTTCCCACATATGCATTTCCTCTTTGGCAATCTTCAGACACATATAAACCCCAACCAATAACAATGCTGCCAGATAATGACCAATGACACCGTGGTGACTGGATCATATTTCTTAGAGCCTACTCAAAGACAACCACCTCTAATTCATATCCATTAGCTTTGGGTTCTTACTCTATTAATTCCTGGGTAGACATTTAATAAGAATTTGTTTTATCCTCCTCCAGGTGACAAAGTCATCCCACTCTTTATTCCCCAGTGTGGAAAATGCAGTGTCTGTAAACACCCAGAAGGCAACTTCTGCTTGAAAAATGAGTATGTTTCCAATACTCTCCTAACACAGCCAATGAATTTACACATTGATTATGCTCCTGTCTCATGCTCTTATGTGTCTGTGTGTTGCATTTGCCAGTATAAGCATGCCTAGGGGGACCATGCAGGATGGTACCAGCAGGTTCACCTGCAGAAGGAAGCCTGTCTACCACTGCCTTAGCACCAGTACCTTCTCCCAGTACACTGTGATGGACGCAATCTCAGTGGCCAAGATTGATGCAGCCTCACCGCTGGAGAAAGTCGGTCTCATTGGCTGTGGTTTCACTACCAGTTATGGGTCTGCAGTCAAAGTTGCCAAGGTACGAATGACAATGGATGATAAAACCAGTTGCACTCAAGACAGTCAGGAACCAAAAGGAAAGTGGTTTCTCACAGGAATCAGAGATCATTCTTCATAGATTTACTGGAAGCTTTCCCACCCTGCTACCACAATAACATCGATATACTCCATAGAATTTAAGTTGTTGATTATGAGTAGAACAATGTCCTGAGAAAAAATTAGGAGGGAAAATTTATCTATAACAAGTGAAAAAGCTGTTGATAATTAGTAAAGAAAAAGTAAAGATGGCATTTTCAATCATTATTTTTCTATATTTGTTCCTATGAGACTACTAAATTTTAGAGCTGGGACTTCATTTAGTCATTCTCTGGTGAGTCAGCACAAACATAATACTAGGCACAGTAGGTTCTGCTAGTTTCTGAGGCAGCGAAAGTAAAAGAAATGGAAGGGTTGCCTTTGAGGAGAATCTAGTCCATGAATCCTCTACTGCCAGAATTAGGATCAACAGTAGATTCCAAAGCCTTACCTGCTATACCACCAGACCAAGCATCACCAACGTATCTGCTTTGTAGATCCCTATGACAAAAGCAATGAAGCTTCAGTGATGCATTTTGCATTTATTCCACTCATTAGGGGATTTCACTGCTGCTTCTCCTCCCCTGCCATGAAAATACACACACACACACACACACACACACACACACACACACACCCTCCCTTCAGAGGTGGTAGGTCTGAAGGAGAAATTCTTTAAAGGTCCCTCTTCCCAAAAAGTTGGAAATCTAAAAGGCCCAGATACATAAAGCTATTTGCCCAAAATCTTATGGCTGGTTAGTATGAGAACTGTGATGAGCATCTTTTTCAAAATTCCTGCTGAATGTTAAACCATAATATATTATTACCTACATTTTAAAATCACAATCACAAGCCCCATATTCTTCTACTTAAAGTAAAAAGTGATGTTGTATCTCAAAGAATGATTGATTAGTAGAGACAAAAGGAATATTTTACCCACACTGAAGGCTGACTCTTAAAGCTGACTAGACATATTAAACAGTCCTTATTCTATTTCAACAACTGACACCACATGTTTTTCAAAATTCTGTGACTCTAAGTCTCTTGTGCAACTGTATCATCTGTTTGAGCAGATCAGAGCAAAAGCCAAGGGCACTCATGATAATAAATTTCAACCATTATTAAAATGTAGACCAACTTTTTATTGCATTATTGTTCGTTAGTATATCTTTTAAAAAACAAGGATAAAGGCCCACTAATATTGCATTAGTCCCAAGCTATATTATCTTAAAAGTTTCCAGTTAAATTTCCCTAGTTGTTAGGTTTGGTTTTAAGCTGAGGATAACTCTTCTCTGCCTTACAGCTAATTTCTGCTCTCATTATATTGACCATGACTACTGAAAGTTAATGAACTAAGGAGTTAATCATTGAGGGTTTGGTCAGATAGTTTTCAGTCTCCTGGAATACCTTTCCAGCTTATTTCACTTCCCAAAATTTGCTTTTGTGTATGTGCAATTTACTGAAGCCTGTCAATGTATTTCAGCCACTAGATTCCATGCAAGTTGGGAGTTATTGGCATTTAGAGCTCAGAGATCATCCAGTCAATGGGCTCCCAGCCTGGGCTTCCCATCGGAGTCACCTGGGAGCTGGGTCCTGCCTGCAGAGATTCTTGTAATAGTTATGGATCTCTGCCTGCAGAGATTCTTGTAACAGTGTAATTGGTTATGGGCTGTGACCTGGTCACTGAGAGGTGTTAAAGCTCCTCGGGACTTCATACAGCTTACACTCTTTGCAGCAATCATTACTTAATCCATTTTTCTTTTTGCATCTTCTGAAACACAGGTCACTCAGGGCTCCACCTGCGCGGTGTTTGGCCTTGGAGGAGTCGACCTGTCTGTGGTCATGGGCTGTAAAGCAGCTGGAGCCACCAGGATCATTGGGGTGGACATCAACAAAGACAAATTTGAGAAGGCAAAGGAAGTGGGTGCCACTGAGTGCATCAGCCCACAGGACTTCAAGAAACCCATCCAGGAGATACTGAAGGAAATGACCAGTGGAGGTGTGGATTTTCCATTTGAAGTCATTGGTCGGCTTGATACCATGGTAGGTATCATGAAATGCCTTGATTATGTGTTTCTGCATTCTGGAGTATGTTTTTAGGCAGTAGAATATAAATAATGTATGTACAGAATATTTTAAAAATTTTGAATGGTGATTTTCTATCTCCTATTTGATACCTGGATTGCTTAATTTGTTATTACAAGAAAAGTTTCATTCCATCAGCTAAGCAAACTATTTCCCCTTTAGAGAGGGAAGACAGGTTTTTTTATTTAGCCATTTTAAATTTACTTTGTTCATTTTTAGTTAAAATTTCAAACTCAAGTATATATGAATAATACAAATTCTCTTCTGAAATTGGCAAGTTTTATTTTTCAATCTTTCCCCTCACATTTTTAAACAAAATCGTTTAATAATTTTTATATATTTTAATGAGTTATGATTTTTTTATAAATCATAATTTGGTAAAAAAAATAATAAGCAATTTAAGGCACATATCATTTTAACAACATAAAATATACCCTATTTTACCACAACATACAACACAGTGCTTGACACATGTATTAAGCACCCAAATCTATGCATCAGACTGAATACTTTTAAAAGTCATCAGACTTTTCCACCAAAAAAATTTAAGAGGTACATGTCTCTTAGCTATCGATTACATGAGATAATGCATGGAAAATACTTAGCACAGTGCCAGCTGTCAAATGTTAGCTGGTGTTACTGATAGGAAACACTGTTTTCCAAGGTTGCAGTGCTTACATCATCTCTAGAATATACATAACATTACTTTCAATAATTAGAAATATTATCAATTACCACATGGAAGACATCTCCAGCTATATTCCTTCCAGTTTCTCATGTGGAATTGGACTGTGGCTTTATTTGAAGACAACAAATATCTGATAGCCACATGTTTCTGAGCTTACCTGGTTTTTCAAATGTCATACTCCAAAATCAAAGGACTAATCATTATCTATTGCTGAGGACCCTGAAAAAGTTTTCCTCCTACAGATACGTTTAAAACCCTGATTCGAGCAGGGAGACTCTCTTTTGAAGTTCTAAGATAATAGGTATAGTTTAAAGTAAAGTCAATATACATTTTAGGGAAGTAAAGATCACATTTAAAACATGTGCATTTCAGGCCAACAGGTATGTTCAAAGATGCTCATCATCCTTAACTATCAGGGCAATGTAAATCAAAACTCAATGAGATAATACCTCCCCACTCAAGTTAGGATGGCAGCTATCAAAAAGTCAAGAAATGGGATTGACAAGGTTGTGGTGCACTGTTGGAGGGAATGTAAATTGGTTCAACTATTATGAAAAGCAGTATAGAGGGTCCCTAAAAAATTAAAAATAGAAATACCATATAAATCTAGCAATCCCATTTCTAGGAACATATCCAAATGAAATGAAATCGCTACCTCAAGTAGATATCTGCACCCCTACGTGTACTGAAGCATTATTCACAATAGCCAAGATGTGGAAATAACCTAAGTAGCTATCAACTGATACATAAATAAATTATTATATTTGGTGGAATATTATTGAGCCATAAAATGAGAAAAACCCTGTCATTTGCAAAGACATAAATAAATCTAGGGGACATTATGCTAAGTAAAATAAGCCAGACACAGACAAATACTTTATGATCTCCTTTATATGTGAAATCTAATAAAGTTGAAGTTTTAGAGCCACTGAGTAAAATGGTGCTTACAGGGCTGGGGTTGGGGTAAGAAATGGGAAAATATTAGTAAAAGGGTACCAACTTTCAGTTTTGATGAGCAAATTCTGAAAATCTAATCTACAATATGGTGATTGTAGTCAATAATATTGTATTCTATACTTCAAGTTTGCTAAGGGAATAGAACTCAAGTGTTCTCACCACAAAAGAAGGGAGGAAGGAAGGAAGGAAGGAAGGAAGGAAAGAAGGAAGGAAGGAAGGAAAGAAGAAAGGAAGGAAGGAAGGAAGGGAAAAGAAAAGAAAATGGTAACTATGTGAGGGATATGTTAACTTGGTTGTGGTAATCACTTCATATTGCATGTGTATATTAAATTACTACGTAATACACCCTAAAAATCACATTGCATAACCTAAAATATACATTTTTATTTGGTATTTATACTTCAACAAAGCTGGAAAAATACAGAAATCAGAAAAAGTGTCCATTTTAGAAGTGGACAGTAGTATAGGGAACCATTAAAAAGGGAGATCATCACGGGGGACAAGAAACAAACTGTGATGATGTAATTGACCTTATATCTTGTTCACCATCAAAACACCTGGTTGAAGGTACTGAGTTCAAAGTATCTATTTAATAAACAAATAAAAAATAAGTTAACCAACTCATAGATTGCCTGTGAGTCATGTGATCACAAAACTTTACTTCTGCTTAAGGAATCAGATTTTATATAGGTATGTTGGTAATGATGTTGCCTCTTCATTACTTTATAAGAAAGAATTAAGTGTACACAAATTCATTCATCCATTGTCTCATTCAAAACATATTTTCTGGGTTTTTCCTAAAGCCACAGCACTATCCCAGGCATAATGGGGAATGAAGATGCCGAAGATATAATCTCTTCCCTTCACATGTTCACAATCTAGCTAAATCAATCCTACATGATACTGTGGATCGTGAGTGAGGACTATCAGAGAATACTCTTCAATGATGGCAAATATGAATTTTATTCCAGGTGGCTGCCTTGTTATGCTGTCAAAATGCAAATGGCACCAGCATCATTGTAGGAGTACTTCCTAATTTCCAAAATCTCTCCATGAACCCCATATTGCTATTGACTAGACGTACCTGGAAAGGAGCACTTTTTGGTGGTATGTGTTTAGGCTCGAGGGCTGAATTTTTTTAACCTCAGAATTTCTTCCCTTTATCAAGTGCCAAGGCCAGGTTTTAAAAATCAACATGGTTAAAATAAAATTAAAATCCTTTGCATCTATAGGCTCTAAATCAACTAGATATGGAACTAATGCCCAAGATCCCAAGACAGATTTTTCTGGTGTCCCCATAAACTAGGGTCTTTCATCACCACTTCTTCTTATATGTGTGAATCCACAAGGCACTGAATATATCTAGTGGGACCCAGGAAATTCATAGCAATAATTTATGTCTGCTTTCATTACCCAAATTTAGACAATTTCACAAATTGTTCCTTGATTTTTGGAATAACCACCCATACTATAATTTCTCTGTAAAAGAGCTAATAACTAGGGAACCTTGTTTTTCTAGGCAGACTTTTTTAGGAAAAAATAAATAAAGTCTAACCACTGCTAGAGGATATTGAACCACTTTGTCTATTAACCTCAGTAGTAGTACTCTAAGTAGAACTTTCATTTTCATTCTATTCAGAAAGTCTCTTCTCCAATTCTCTTATCCCTAGCTCCCCCTAACAATGATGTCCTTTTCTTTTCAGGCTTTAAGAGTAGAGATTCTGTCCCCAAACTTGTGGCTGACTTTATGGCTAAGAAGTTTCCATTGGATTCATTAATAACCCATGTTTTACCTTTTGAAAAAAATAAATGAAGGCTTTGACCTGCTTCGTTCTGGAAAGAGGTAGTTTTAAGTTTCCTTTTATAGTAGGGTTTTGGTTAACAGAGCAAAAAGGGTGAAAATATAAGAAAAATATTGGAGTGCCTTGGTTTTCCGTTACTAGTTCAGTCTTTGCATGCAAGATCACATTGTGAGAAGCTAGGAACAGTTGCTTTGCATTTCCTGTTCTGCTGAAATGAAATTACATTGGTTGGTTACAATGAGTCTAAATTATCAAAGCCACTGATCTTTATTTACAAGAGAACACTCACCTTCGCAAGGAAAAAAAAATCAGTCTCACCATTAAAATCATAACATGGAGTCACTGCAGCCTCTGCCTGGCCACCTAAAGAGACTGACCATTAATGGCTCTAAATTTAAGTTACATATGGGAGTAGGTGGAACTATGTTGGGATTGTTTTCTATACAGATATCACAATTATTTATTTTAAAAAACTGACATTTCTTTTTTTCAGTTTACAAAGAATTTTTCACAAATAAAAATGATGGTAAAGGAGAATGCTATTGTGAATGTTTAAGCCTTATTTTTTTTTTCAAAGCTTAGCAAAACAAGCCAATTTCATTTCATATCCCTAACATTTAACTTTATGACCACCTAAAAAGAAAATTTTGTCATTTGCATTATAGAGGAAGCACAATGAGTAATAGGCAGTTATACCTAATTTCCACCTTCTGGTTCCATAGTCCATGCTTTTTCTACTCATACTTCTTCTCATGAAGTTTTCCACTTTAAGTTGAAAGTTTTATTATTTCTTAAGCACCCACACACATAGCATATTATACTAGACATTTAGTCTGATACTATTATTGAAAAAGGAAGGAAACTAGCATTGCAGAGCATCAGATTACATCCTTTCTAGAAAGCAATTTAGTAATTTGTATCAGGAAAAACAAAAAACAAAACACCAGCGAGGCTTTGTACCAGCAATCCTATTTCTGGGAATCTATTCTACAGAAATAATCAGATATACAAATACTTCTATTTAAGCATGGTCAACTATTATCTATAATATCAAAAATTGGAAATATCCTAAAAGTCCAACATTATGGGATTGTTTCAAATTCAGCATGTACTAGAAACCAATATAGCCATGAAAATGAAATGACTTCATAAATTGGGAAGTTCTTATAATATAATTTCAGATTATAGAATAGATAACATAAATTTATATATGCAACATGACCCCAAGTTCTCAACAAGCACAATGAAAAATGTACATATGTCTAGAAAAAAGTTGATCAAAATGCAAGAAAATATTAACACTGATTATCTCTAAGTTGTGGGATAACAGGATATTTTTATTTTATTTACACTCCCCTTTAGTTTCTAAATTATCTAGATATATTTCTTTATATATATATATATATATATATATATATATATATAATTTTTAAAGGCATGAAGACCATCTTTTCCTAAAAGCATTTATACATCAGAAGATGGTTTTTAGAAAGAACATGAGTTTCAGTGTAAATGTTACGTTTCTGATCTTCCCAAGAGCGAGTCTCTCTAAATACAAATCAATTTATTCTACTTCTAAGGCTCCTTAAGTACTGCTTTATCAGAGCTCTATTAAACCTTCAACATGATTGTAACTATTACATCATTGCTTCTTTCAAGCAAGTTACCTTTCATCTTGTAATTTGTGCAATTTTGTATTTGGGTTTAAATCCCAGCACTTCACACTAGACATGTGACCTAAAGCAAGTTACAGTCGCTCTAAACCTCAGTATTTTTAATCCCTAAAGTGAAAATAATGTTAAAACCTGTCTCACAGCATTGTTAAATTGAGTTTAAATGATAAAATGTGCAAGAAGCATCTATGGAGTATGTGACAAAGACCAAGAACATATTACTCATTGTTGTTTTGAATTCATTTTTATGCCAGGCACGTGGGTGCTCAGAAATGATTTTTTGAGGATTATAATACATAATAAAGCCTATATGGCCGTCATGTCCAGGATGTTATGTTTGAGTTTAAGCTTGGGGAAAACACAAGACAGAGCCCAGAAAAGGTGAACTGCTGCTCTTTGACTTGACTTGAAAGCATAGGGATATGAGTGGAGTGACAGAGATCACCTACAGCTCTTCACTAACACACATCAAAGGTTCCTTAGACCCTCACATGGAAGAGTGTGAATCACCTAAACATTAAAACAATTTAACATCTTTTATTTTCTGTTTCAGTATCCGCACCATCCTGACATTTTGAGACCATGCAGTGCTTCACTTCCAGCAGTCTTCTGGCTCCTTCATCATCTGGCACATCAGCCATACATGATCAGTAATTCTGTTCTTCAGAAGCGCTGTCAATAAGTTACATGTGGGAGCTTCTCCAAAGAAACAAAAATTGATGTGAAATCATTTTTCAGGCAAATGTTTAAAATCTAAGTGAAAACTAGATGAACCGTCAGCTGATTGAGTTCAGTAAACCTTCCTTCTAAATCACTCCACTCATGTTGAATCATGTCATCTTTTCCATCAAGGAAAAGTATTTCTTTGACTTCTTGTACTTTTTGTATCTTAGCCACCCTTAGTAACTGAAGCTCAGTGGAAGAGGTCCTCATTATATTTGCCCCTAACACACACATAATGGGCTCTTGTGCTTGAAGCCTTGTACTTCTGCCTCTACTCTCACTGTCTGTATTTTCCTTTTTATGAAATGTACAAATACCCTAAGGTAAAAATTATGTGTGGGGGAAAAAATACACTCAGACCCTTAAGTGAAAAAGGTCCAGAATATCTAAATGCAAGGAGGTTCTTAGGGAAATGTTGCACACACATTTTTATATGATGCAGGAAAACATATTTATTGCTTTTATACTCTTTGCACTAAATATGTAATTGTTCTTTTAAATAAAAAAGGTTACCTATGATAATTGTGAAGTTCAACTATTAAATGTGAAAACTGAACTGTTCCTGGAAACATTTTAAAAATAGGGAATTTTTACTCATGAAAGTGCCTTATTGGTTAAACCATCTTAATTAATTATTACAATTAACTGAAATGAGTCATAAGTAATTCAAAAGTAATATTGGGACAGAGTATAAGGATGAAGCAGATGTAGACACAGCACATAAAATGGTAATAAGAAATGGCACAGATATCTAATGCAATATGTTTTCTAAGTAAATACACATATTTATACATATGCAGATGTACATTTTTGCAAAACTTATTTTCAACCTAGAACTTGTCTTAAATCCAGACTATAACCCTGGAATTTAATTTTTTTAAATATGTAAGCCTGTGGTACATTTGTTAACACTTTCTCAGTTAGGGGAAGATTTGCATTTTGAGCTTTATCTCTAAATGTGTAATGGAAAGTTTATTCCTTTAAGGTGCTTTAGTTGTCTCCAAAAGTATATTTGTTTCTGTGTCTATTATCTGTTTGGTATTGTGGAAAGTATTCTAGATTTAGAGCATGTCATCTCCCACTTCCTTGTGATCTCCTATAAGTTACTCAACCTCTCTGAGCCCATTTTGTCCTTTGATTTAAAAAATTACTCTATATACCCTTTATAGCTTCAGGATAATTAGATGGGATGATGCTAAGTGAGAGGACTGTATCAACTATGAAGTGTCATGTTAATGTAAGGAGTAGTATAATTGTTTTATAAGAGGCTGAAAAAGATATTGAGAGTCCAGGAGGCTTCAGAACGCACCTATGAGAACATCATGGAACACTGTGGGTCCATGCTGCTGGGTACGCCAATGTTTTCATATTGATCATGATGATGTGAGACCAAGAGAAAAATGAGATGATTCTAAGTGCCCACATCATACTAATGAGCATAAAATACTGCTGGTTGCACAGAGGTTTACATCCACCTTCATCTCTCCTTCCTCCCAGGCTGTGGGGAGCAGGTGGAGACCAGGGCATGTCATCACTCTCATGGAATTCATTTTGACAAATGCCATTAGAAAATTACTCAGAACTTAAAGTGAGAGCAAGTCTCACTTTAATTAATAATGACATTCTTACATACCTGACTACTTAATTCTGTTAGCAAATGATTATTGTACAAATAACCTCAATATGCATTCTCTGAAAATTCTAAAGTAACAATTTTCTTGAAGTACATTGAATTCCATTTGTCTGTCAAATACCTGGCAGTTGTCATGAAATAGGCCATTGCATAAAAAGAGAAACCAACATTAGTGGGGTGAGAATAAAAATAGAATGGGAGCACTGTTGTGGAGACCAAACACTATTCAAAGGAGATTAGTGGTCAGATGTGCAGACTCGGTTTGCTCCTTTCATTCACTTGGGACCCAGAGTCTGAAAGACCATCTGCACAGCCTTATCGCAATCATCAAGAGAAACCAGAAGTTGCTTAATTACTCACAAACAAAGCCAACTCATGAGAAAAGATAACTAGAGAGAGAAAGCATCTGGTCTCCTTACTCAGGTTTGGTCTTTGGGGTATTTAGTGTGTCAAAAAAGAATTGAATAGATTTATTATGAGAGAAAGCAAGTTCAGAGAGCTTACCAGAAATGCTTATTTAACTATACTATTGATACACCACTGCTGACCCAGAAACCAATCATTTACAATGTTTTCAGGGATATTTAATTGCCTTAAGGGGTATCACCATAATTTTGAAACAAAAAGAATTTTAGACAAATGTATTTGAAAAAATAAATTAAAATTAAATTTTAAAAAAAGTAAAAAAAGAATTTTAGTTCTAAGTTTAAATAATGAATATCTCCCAGCTAATTTCATATTTAAGAGTGGATAGAAGAAAGAGATTGGGAAATAACTGGGTGACTAAATCTTTCTTTTGAACTTGAATTCAAACCTCAGTAAATTAGAAGTGAAAGAAAAGCTGGAGCAAAGTAAATCTCTTCATTAATGGAAGGAAATACTAGGCATTTGTTTAATCTTTCCAAAATCTTCAAACTATAATGTATAGCAGAAAAGAGTTAGAGCTGTTAGTGGCCCTTTATTTTGCTTTCTTCTCCTCCTTGGGGACATTCAAAGACAGGACATTGAAGAATATACTGGTTAACTTCTCAGTGTGAGCAAGATCTGTGTATCTCTAAGTTCTTTTTCTCCATCTCTACAATATTTCTAAAGAACAAAAAGGAGTGGAGAAAGAAGGAGAGAGGATAACAATTATATCCAAAACTAATAAACAAGAAGGAAAACTGGGGACAACTTTGCAGACAGAGGGCTCATGAAATAGTGGGATGAGTTTAGGAAAGTATAAGCATTTAGTATTGCTGACCTGAAAAATTCCTCAATGGGAAATGTCTGAGCTGGTTAACTGTGATTCTAGAATTCCTCAGAAGAGCTTCAGATTTTATCTTCTGGGTAATGGAAGCTCTATTAACATTTTCTGAACTGACTGGTAATATGATCAGATTAACATGTTAGAAGCTCGTTCTTGCAGCCCTGGGAGGAGGCATTAGAGATGAGAAGAATAACAGAGTGAAAAGGGTTTAGCTACATACAGACAAGGGAGAATGGAGCCCGTTTTAGATCAGTGTCTCAGGGGAAGGAGTACATCAGAATGAGATATTCTTAGGGATTGTGGGTGGTTTGGCACCAGGACTGCAGGAGCGGGGCCACAGATAGTGGAAGACAAAGTTGAGGCTGATTCCAGTGTCTGTGCTAACAATTGAGAATGGACTGTAGGCCCCTTCAACTTGGGAGCTGAGAATAGCATCAGGTATTTGCAGTGAAGATGGTTAAATTTGGCATTGGATTTGACAAGCTTGAGACACTTCTAAGATTTTTAGCTGGAGTTGTCTATACAAAGTCTGCAGCTAAGAATTAAGTCCTGAACTAAATCTGTGACTTAGGGGTTGATTCCCATTTTGATAATCCCCCCCCACCCCACCCCACCCCATGTAAGTTCTCCTTTCATGGCACTGAATTTTCCTTAAAACATTACAAGATACAAAAGTGTGATTTCCACTCTGCTAATCAAATGGATTTATGAGAGACCTGCTGAAGGGCTGCATTTTGTCAAAAGACACAGGATATGGAGGATTCATTCTGCCAGTGTGGATTGCTGTGAGGGCCGACAGGTTCTGGAGATGGAGTCCTGACTTCACCTGTCTTTGCAGCTCCCTGATCAATATAAAATCACCATTCCCTGGGAAAGCTGGGTTCTCACACTATTTATGAAAGCTCAGCTGAGAGCCTGCTTGCTCAGCCATCGCAGTGACCCTGCTCACTACATACCTTCCTCAAGAAAGCCCTTCTGTGTAAACTAGTTGGAAGGATTCCGTTATCTATAATGACAAATGTTTTGACAAGTACAGGCTGTTACCTAAATCCCTGGACAAAGATAATATTGCCCAGGCAGAGAGCATAGGACATTAATACAATAAATCAAAAAGATAAATTGAAGGAGCATTTTAGTCAGGGAGAATGTATCAGCTCAGGGTCCCAGGCAGAGGTGTTTGCATTACTCTCTGTGGAACTGTGAGTGAGTCAATTCATTGAGAACTAAGAAAGATGACTGAACAAGGAGAAAGATGCCAGATGGTGGAGAGACCCTTAATGGCAGACTTTGGCTCCTTTCCTAAAGAAAAGAGCCATTGAAGGTTTAGCAAATGTTCTAGTCTGGAAAATTAATATAACAGCAGTGGGAAAGGTAGGTTGAGGCTAGACAAGGGGACCAAATAGAAGAGAATTTCAGTGGAACATGAGCAAGACAGATGAGAAAGGGATCTTAAGAGACAGATGTGAGAAATGCCATAAAGGAAGGCTCATAGAAAGTGGTTTCTGTGGTGAGGGAGACAAACCAAAGATGACCACAAACTTGGAGATCAAGGGAGGTAAAAAAGAATAATCTTAATAACATAAAATAAGCATCAAAAAGAAATGGCTATGTCTTAGAAACATGGATTTTTTGACGTGACAGAAGACATTCAAAAGATATCCGGTAAGTAAACATGAGACTTGAGGTCCAGGATGGCACAGGAGATGAGGTGATCATTTCAGGCAGAGATAAAGTAAAAACCATGAAAATAAAAATGATTTCAGAGAACAGTGGACTAGTGTGGGAATGTTTCCATCTTTGGGGTAAAGAAAGAAGTTCTGTGAAAAGGAAACAGAAGGAACACCCAGAGGTGATAGGAAGACAGTGAGGAGACATTGGGTCAAGAATTCCAGAGAACTGAAGAAAGACCCCCTTTTTACCTCTCAAAGTGACAGTTCTACTAAAGAGAAAGAGAACAGGAGGAGCAAATGACATTAACAAAGAAGCTCAGGAGTTAAGTTGTAAGGTAAAAGAGGCAAGTATATAAATAGACAAATAGACTAAAATAGTAGTACTGACAGGGCTGAGAGGAAATTCTTCCTAGAGAGTAAGTAAACATCCCATGAGCAGTAAAGAAAAAATGACTGGAAATTTTTAAAAAGGGGAATAATAGATAGAAGTGCTACAGATGATGGAGTTAGAACCAGAGAGAGGAAGCCAAAATATATGAACATACAGGTTTTTGAGATAATAAAGAAAATGAGGAAGATATATGGGATTAATCTTGCCTATAATTTATGCATATGGGGACCAGTAAATGTTGATTTTGCTAATTTAGACATTTGCAATCAGCAATAAATCACATTAATGTACAGTAATCCAACTTCAGTATGTCCAAAAAAACTGAGGCCAAACTGGAAGACTATGCATGAGCCTTGCTACTGACCTAGGGTCTATATTACCATTCAGTTCAGTGGTTCTCCACACATCATTAAAGATACAATAATTCTTGTGAAATAAACAAACTTGTTTTCTCCAAAACATCTATTAAAAGGAATTACATTTCTGTCTACTTT